CATGCTCACCAGTGACTGTGGGCATTTGTGCACATTTGTGCTGTAAAACCATAGGAGGGTTAATGACTGAATATTCAAGTATTTGGAGATGAAATGCAATAAGGGGGAAGGGCCCGTTTTTTGACAACAGGTGAATTTTTGTACGGCTCTGTTTCCTCAGTTGTAGTCAAGAAGTGTGTTCAGCCGTAAATCTACTGACTTGCACCAAGTACCTGCTTAAGGATATCAATTTGACTTATTCTGTTAAATCGGAAGGTAGCTTTTGGGGTAGTGTCTTGCAACGTCAACCCACCAGGGTTGTTGCAGCATGGTTGGTGGGTTTAGCAGCGATTGGCCTGTTTTTCTCACTGTGAGCAGGGCAGGAAGAGAAACCGAGGCAACACCACGGACACGGACAGACCTTGCCAGGAGCACAGCTTCATCACCGACGTCAACGACATACAGACCATGCAGGACGGACTGCTCAAACTGATGAGGGACTTTGAGACTGGCAAACTCAGCGCATTTGGTGAGATGTCCTCCAAAATTCTAGAGTTTTTTTGCATTATGTGTTGACTTCTCACCTGACTGTTGTTCACCCCTTAATAAAAACATTTAAGAACCATCTTAAATTCAGATTTCCAGCCAGGCCCTTTCTGAATATTTCAGTTTTAAGGGAAACATTTGATTAACGTTTTGGGGAGAGGAGTGACCACGGGACATGATGACTTCTGACAAATCGAAATCTGTTCCCAATTTTTTTGCAGGAAAGGTCGTTGACTTAACAATCCATTTTGACAACACAAAATCTGCCGTTGGCAAACAGTTTTCCGAATTGATTGTAAAATCCATTGCATTTCTAGATACTGTTTAAGATCTAATAACATTCTCAAGGAGACAAATGATTACACAAAGGCTTATCTAATATACATGTAATTGCCACCTATTACATATTAAAGCAAAGTTGATTTTTTGACAAATTGTCAATAGATGAACACTGTTCTTTTGAGAAGATGAACAATGTGCGAGATCTTCAGGAGAAACTAGGCAGGATGCACTTCAAGATGGAGGCAGACATCCAGAATGCGGGGTAATTCCTCAGCAGTGGGTCTTTGACTCTATAAACTCTCAAGCAGGGTCCAAGCTTTCATTTGCCGTTATTGCCAAATGGCAGATATTTTATAAATTTGGCTACAATCCCGAGCAACTGACGAGAACCAAATTGTCTTTAAATTTGCACGAAAGAGGGAATTGGAAGGAGCTGAAAAAGTAGTCATGTGGCTGGAACTTAGGCTGTTGATTTAAACTTTGCCAGACAGAACCCTGCACAGGAGGTTTTATCAGCCCTCCCCCCCCAATCCTCCAAAATCTACCATAACCCTCCTTTTAGTTAAGAATCCAGAGGAGCACCGTTGGTACCCTGACTTCCAAGAAGTGTCAAGTACCTAAGAAAGAAAACAGTGGCTGGGTTCCATCTTCCCCAATCTTGCAAAAAACCTCCCAGACCACCTGGTGGATTTTGAAGGATTTTGAGGGATTTCGGAGGGCAAGGATTCAAAGAAAGCCAGACAAAATGCACATTTGTTTCTCTGGAAGTAGCTTGATACATATGCGACCCACCCGTTCCAAACCCAGGCTGAAGTATGGAACTTCCGCTGTTCACCTTCATGGAAATTCCACGTGGCCAGTAATTACTAAAGCGCTCCACAGACGAAGTTTAAACTTCATCACTTTGAAGTTGAAAAAGTTTGGGGAGGAATAATCAAACATCACTCGATTTGGAAAAATGGGCCATAAATAAGCATATGTGGGCTGTACTCATTCCTACATTCCTCCTTCTCAGGGCCAACACCAAAGAAGGCATTGACATTGCCACCCAGAACATGGATCACCTCCTGTCCAATGTAAGTCCAGTTTCTCGTAACTTGGGGCAGAGGTTGAACAGAACAGGAGCACAAGTTTGATGCAATCAGAGTTTTTTTTTTTGCCCAAGCTGCTTTTGTAACCCATGCCTGCACTCTACCTAACGGCCCCTACTGTCCTAGCTTTGGCTGCTGTCAAGGGGCTTAAGTTTTCTTAATCGTTTCAAACTGAAACTAAAAAATTAAGGAAGGCAGGTCGATGGAGAATAGTCAAGTTTGATCCGATTATCATTCGAGTCACTTCAGCCCCTGTGTATTATCATGCACACTGCATGCATGATAAATGTTTAACGCGGGAAGCAATTTCAAATCGGATAGAGGTTTCCATGGAAATAGGCTTTTCAAGAAATAGAAAAAAAAATCCGACCAAAAAAAGCACTGCTCTTTACTCAAATATGCAGCCTCTGGACTTTCTAACCAGCCAAACTCTTTAAAGTAGCTTGCCAGAAAAACAATTCTCATATGTAAGCGTGTTGCATCGGCTCGGGGGAAAAAAAGTAGCCCGAGATTGGAAAGCATTAGTGCGTGAGTCGCCCAAGAAGCGGGATTTGGTTCAGCGTAGGCTGATGGATTAGGCTGCATCGAGCAAAACTGCTTCCTGTGCTTTTAAATTATGCATTAAAGAGCGGCAGCAGACCATTAAGAACCTGCTTTGACCCATTATCTGTCTTTGAAGAGGCTTCCAGCTCTGATCCAAGTTAGATGCAACTTGCAAGAAATAGAGACAAGCTTTCATCCAGTATTAATCCTAGAAAAACTGGATCAGAAATGCCGTTAATGTGTCATGTTGCCTGTCTGCGTGACATTTTTTTTTTTTTTAAATGCTGTGATTCATTTTGAAGTGGCTAAAAATCGCGAAAGGGGTCTTCTGTTGTGGCTATATTCACAAATATTACGCACGTAGTATGTTTACCGGGGAAATTGCCCACAATGTGAACCAAATACATGTCGTTTGTTTCCTAAGTATTCGTTGTCTTATGATACCATTTTGATTTAACGGAAACCCATCAGAGAGAAGCCAAAACTTGGTTGGGAGTGCGAATGACTGTTTCTTCTTCAAACACTTCCTTGTCAGTTATCTTTGGAAAATCGACAGGTTTGCTTGAAGTAATATTGTCGTTAGGAATTGTTTCTGGGGAGACTAAATACACGAAGCTTGATAGTTGGAGTATTCACAGCAGTTTGATATTGCTTGTTATTTCTTCTTTGCAGTTGGATCAGCTGAGTATGGCAATGTATCCTTTGAACTTGCATTTTTGCAATCATTTGTGTTCTTAAATCGCTGTTATTTTTATGTGACCCACGAACCCTACTCACTCCAAGGTTTTAGTTGGGGTTTCAGAAGAATTCAGCTCGATAACCCCCCCATCAAATGTTCACATGTGCATTGTGGCTGCCTTCCCATGTGTGTCTGTGCATGAGCTAGCTACATGTAGGTTTGCCTTGCTCCGTCAGTACAACTAGGCCCGGGTCAGTCTGCCTGTCAGTCGGTGGTTCATTCTGGTGAGGAACACTTAGGCCGAGTTCAGGCGGCTTGTTGTCGTATGTTCACGAACAGCTCAATTTTGTGTTTGTTAGTCGGACGCTCGAACGCCGGGAACGTACAACCGGTCATCGCTGGTTGCTGCATGCAACATGGCGGCATCCATGTGTGTTCTTCCAAAGTAAACTTTAGAAAACTGGACTGAATTATTTTCTGTTTAAAAAAGGAACATTAATTTCTTTGTTCTGGAAAACGATTTTTAATTTTTGTAAAACTTTCCACTGTCTCCGGCTTTGTGAGCCATCTCGCTATTTTTTGCGGCTGTTCAAAAATCAAAATCTCACGAGTTCTTTTGTGTGTTCCTATAAAACCCCGACAAGGGGTTGGTGTGTGATCCTGTTCCGAGAGCAGTGTTCTTGAGTCGTGTTCCCGCCATTCGAGCGCAAGAACAAGAAACCCCTGTCAAGAACAGGACGCCTGAACTTGACCTTAGTGTGGAAGTTGGCTTGCCAGTCAGTCAGGTGGCTGTTGATAACTTGATAAATCATCTTACAGTAAACGATTGGCTCGGAGGATTCTACACCTTGCATTTATGAATCATTGACACACACACTGTTATCAAGACACGTCGCTGGGACCAACAACGGTTGACAGAGGTGCCACATCAAGTACCCTGTTCTCTGTTGTCATTATTGATGCTGTCCAGCAGGCATGCAAGTTGATTGGTCGGTAAAATTGGATGAGTCTACCGTGACGGAGTAGTCCCTTGGGTTTGTTTTCCTCTGTTCTCCCCCCCCTTTTGGGGGGAGGGGCAAACCATTACTTGCTTATTTACAGCTGTTCATTTTCCTTGACCGCGCATTCCCTCTGGCACCAGTCGTAGCTTACATCCCCCTGGAGATTCAACTGCCTTTCACCCGGAGCCGCCGGTATGATGCTGAGAATGACGACGATAACAGGTATCTTTCACTCCCCAACGAAAAGGTGGCGTCCTAGTCCAGGAAGTAGCGCAGTGTCGCGTGGCACTATTTAGACCGTATTATTGTACACTAAATCTCAGTTTTGTGAATTAAGAAGAACTCGTGCAGACCGGACCCCCCAAAAAAAACAACCCGCCCTCCATACATCATCAGAAAAACGGTGGATTCCAACACGTAACTTAGAGTCTACAAACGGTCATCCCAGAACCACCCACAACTCGCAGAAAGGCATTCGATGGCGCAGAATGACAACTGCGGACTTCAGGACTTTTGATAAAAATAATATTAAAACACGTATAAGGCGCCCAGTGCATTATATTTGTAATTTAAAGGCGCTGATATGTTATCATTATCCCTGTACATTGGGCTCGCACATCATCTGAGCATTCCTGAGACCATCTCAGCTCCCTGGGGAGAGCACAAGCCCGATGCTGCCATGTCAGGCACAAACGGCTAGACGTAACCATGCTGCCCTGAGGTTACCCGTTTACTCCTGGGTGGAGAGAGGCACATAGTGGTAGAGTGACTTGCCCAAGATCACAACATGCTGCCACCAGCTGGATTCGAACCCCTGACCCTATGATCAGAAGCAGCAAGCCCTCACTGTATGCCATATGCCCCCTTTAAGCATGGGGCATGGCGTCGCGAACCCCAATCAGTTGTGTGCACATGGCTGGAGGTCGTGCCACCGAAGTACTGTGGTCCCGACTTCGGATCGATCCAAACCACCATCATTGACAAAGATTTTACTCACAGAAATAACTCTGATTCCTTGCAAATGAGTCCAGAATACTGCAGAAAGTGAAAAAGTTTCAAAAAGCCATCACAAAAGGTTTTGCACTCTGACAAATTTTGTGCCAGGAAATACGAACTCTGTGAAAGTGATACCCATTCAGTTGAAATATTTTAAAAGTACATTTCCCTACACATCCATGCTATTTCTAGACAATTGAAGGTGTCAGCTGTGATGTCACTTTAGGAACAGACACCTCAGTTCTGAGACTTCGATTCAATCACAAGTCCGCTGCGTAGACTTGTTTCACTTCCAATATTCCTTCCAGATATTAGGATGAATTCTTTATTTCCCAGACATTCATGTTGGCGTTCTGCCTCTGTACTTCCCAAGGACACCTTTTAACTTGTCTCAAATTTTTAAAGGTGCAATGTTTCTTAAAATCTAATCTAATCAATATTGTATACCCAGTCGATTGCACGTTTAAAGTTTTCTATTTAAGTATGTTATTTTTCCCTTTGAATACCACGTACAATCCAGTTTATAAAAACTATCATATTGGTCGAAGAACTACACCCGAACTTGGCACTTACCAAAACATATTCAGATCTGTTTATTACTTGACTTTTCCATTTAAAATATCTCATTATTGTTTCCTAGTACTAAATAATTACCATTTCTTAAGTTTGTATTTAGGACAGACAAGTAGCACAATAAAATCTGAAACATAAACAGCTCCAATTCGCACACAAATCACATATTTATTATTACTACCCTGCTGCCTGCTCTATTTGGTGGGAACACTGATGTTTCCATGGAAACCTCCCTTAAGCTAATCAATTTCGCTTTTTTTCCCAAAGGAAATCCATCTAATTTTGCCAGTCCAAAAAACCTTTAACCTAAAGGAATCTAACACCGCGAGCAATATATTTACAGTACTCCGACTTTATGTATTGCAAAACCTTTCGTATACACGCTTTCAGAAGCAGATTACAAATCTACATTGCAGTTCCATTTTGACTAACAACACAGAGACAACAGTCTATTACCACAGACAGCTTTTTTTAAAATGAAATGATTTCAGTGGAGTATAGTTCGTCATACTGTTACCTCATGTCACCGCCCCTGTCTCATTTTGCTGCTTCTAACAAGTACTTGTACATGTACTTTCTAGTCAGTGGCCATTCCCCAATCTTCGGCCCCTGTAGGAGCCAACATCGTTTGGAGCCGTTTCTCGTGTTTCAAGCAGGCAGATGACAAACGATGAGATTGATGTAGGTCAGGGGGAGCGGGGGGCGATGTCTGGCATCAGTTTGGTTGGTTCTCATTACAAAATGTCCCTTCCTCCCCTAAAGGAATAACGAATCCTGTTTTTGCCGTCAGGCTTTTCCCAGCGTTGTCCAGTGCCCTCTTTCGTAACCAATACAAATACTGAGAGTGACAATTTGGCCAGACGCTATGACATTGAAGAAGCAAACTTAATCTAGTTAACCCGATTTGCAACTGTCCTGGCCCGTCCCTGATCTACTTACAGGGAAAATAATTTCATTCTTACAGAGCTTGCAGCTAAAAAAGACTCATTACAACCTAGACAGCGACTTTAAATAAAAAAAAATCCCTTAAAAGGTAAAGTTGTAGATTGTACACATGCACATGTACTTAGAAACAAAGAGCCAGGTTTTGGCCACATTTGTCCTAATATCACCTAAATGAGCAGGTGTATTTGTTTCGTCAACTGCTCTAGAGTAGAAAAAGACATTGATGCTAAATTCACCTCTCCTGTAAGACAAAAGACTATGCCCTTCGGCATATCGATGATCTTTATACCGTTAAATTGCTTTTAAGTGGTGACTACATTTTAATTGCACAACAGTTAAAGTACCTTCCGTGGACAAATTAATCGGTAGCTTTTGTGTAAACAGAAGTTTGAAGGGAAAGAGTATGGTCATAAAACGCCCGTAAAGACGTGTTAAACTAACTGCAGATTTATGAAACACACACACAAAAAAACGGAAGAAGATAATGAAGCTGTCGAGTGTCGAAAGACGTCGACCGACTTCAGCTTGTCAGATTAGTTTCTTATTAAACTACACAATGCACTGTGTAGTGTGTGTGCACGGCTAATTCCTACGAAAATGTATGGCACGAGACACGAGTCGTTTGAATGTGCACCTGGGCAGCCGTCGCCTAGTAACACACAAACTTCGGTGGTCTACAAAAAATCTTTATACTTCTTTATACTTTGTCGGTTTTTTTTCCGTTTGCAACCCTTTCCATAGGAAAGCCGGATTTCACGAGCAGAAATCAGGCGCTCTTTGTAATGCGTTTCTCATTTCTGAAAATTCAATGTACATGTTTATTCAATCAAAATCAATCATTTCTGCAAGTTAAACCGGCCCTCCTCTTTTGTGGGCGTGCTCATTTTTTTTAAATTTTTTTTTAGGGCGGCAAGATTCGTGGGTTTCAGACAACCGTACTACAGTCTTCATGCACTTGACATTACGTCTATTTCTTCTAACATTACATAATTACATGTATCTAAGTCCAAAGTGCAGGGGCTTCTGATGCAGTATGCCAGCCCGTTAATTAACCGCCCAGTGTTTCCAAATCATTAGGCATTCATGACGAATGAATATTAATGCGTATTTGGGTTCATTAGCAGTTACGAACGGTTACTCGGGCTGGACCGCAGTCAGGCTAGCCGATGTTAGAAGTGCATATAAAAAAAAAGAAAGAAGAATTATAGACAGACTGGAGTGCAGACCTATATACAGACTATATATTAATGGCAAACATAACGGCGGTGGGTCACCGTTGGTGCCAGAGACTGGCAAATGAAACCAGTTTCCATGCCAACCGCAAGATGTCAACTTTCAACAAAAATACAACAGAGGCTGGCAGTCCGTGTAAAACGGTAACTTGTGAAATATCACATTGCGGTGAACAGCGCTTCACCGAAACTGCATTGGAAAAAAAATCCCCTTATGATTAAACTTTACAGTTGTTTAAGAAACCCTTCATTGTTCCGAAGATTTGCAATTTTTGGGGTGAAGTTTGCGAATCACCTTCCCGTTGCCAATTTCCACAGAGAAAAGGAGAAAGGGGGCGGGGGAAATCACCAGCGCGCGTTTGAAAAGCTCGTAAGTACGAGCACGTGAAGGACTTTCCCGCCAAAAAAAATACATCACTACGTGTACATGTAGTTGGAGATCTGCCAAGCATGTTTCTTTCCATGCAAAACACCCACCGCTGTCCTGTTTCTAAAGGCTCTACATCTACTCACGACCATTCAGCACCATTGTCAGCACGTCATTGTAAAATGCAGCTCCCGTGCGTGCATTACAATGTATACGAGTTGTCCTCCTTTGGAGAATATCTACCCTACAAACTGGTTACAACTTGTCTCTACGAACGTAGCTACGACTGAAATGAGTTCCACAAGTTTGTTATAAATGTTCCATATAACAAACTGTATCACGGAGGTATTGAAAGGGGTTGTATGTATAGAAAAGACCACAGATCACACAATAAGGGAATTTCTTCTTACTCTATATACACACTATACACATGGAAAATACAAACCAAGCGAAATAACCGATGAAGACGATGGGTTTTTTTTGTCTACTGAGCTGATGGTGTGCCCGTCTGCACGTAGCCAGTGCTAGGTGAGTGGGATACCCGTCGAAAACTTGGGGCGAAGGAGTTAACTACCGTTCAGGCTGCGCACTGATAAAGATAAGCCCATTTGACAAAAACCCTCACTCTTCGCACTTCGTCACACACCGGCCCATAATTATCACACATCACAACATCGAAATGTCAAGACAGACGACCAACGACAGTCGCATATGGAGACTTCCCCATCGTAGACCTTTTTTCAGTCTATAAATTCTTAAGTCTAATCCTACTTGATAACTACTGAACTAACGGGGAAGGACTTTTACACGTCTACAGTATTTATAATGCAGCAATTACGTGGCGAAACGGGTGCCTCATGCACCAAAGTAATACAGTGAGACAAATATTTCCATATCACGGGAAATGGCGTCACTACACCACGCCCTCTACGGTCAACTTACACCACCTTCCAACAACCAAAAAACAATAAACCATTAACACTATATTTCAGTTAGGTATAAACAATCAGTGAATACATTCTAGCGCTACTCTACATAACTCCACTATCCCGAGTTGATAATTAGTTTTACCAACCCGTCTACTCTTAAACCACAAAATCGCTCGTTCGTGTTTGTGTGCCAATGTGCTTTTACGTGATTCATACTTTTATTCAGGCTTCGATGGGTGCAGACCACGAAGGGTGAGTTCGAACGACGGCCATTTTGTCGACTGCTGGTCGATTTCCGCTGGTAACTTGCGCACGGAACATACCCTGGGGGTACCAGGCAAAATCGACCAGTGGTAGACAGAGGTCATCGCTCGAACTTACCCGTAAGGTTCAAGTGTAAATAGTTATATCCTCTTTTCAAATTGTGCTCTAGAAAGCCTTGCATTTTCTATTCTGCGAATTAGCGATGGTTTGCTGGGATATATATTTTTTTCTACTAAAGCGTGAGCGCCTCTTTTGTACTACGATCGTCTAATGCTAGCTATATATCATACCTGAGTTGCCCTTCCCATGCGAAGGAGGTCACAGGATTGAAACCCTGGCGTCCTTTAAGCAGCATTTTCGTGAGATATTTCAAGATCCGTGCAGCATTTTAGTTTTTCTCACATCTACTTTTTTTTCCTATCTCTACTTTCTTTTTGCGTTACCGCGTGCAGCATTGTGCAAAACAGCACGAAATGCCTCAAGCTTGGCGTTTCACGCTGGAATGACGACGCATTCGTCGTGAATCCGTCCCGGTGAAAACGGCGCTGTGAGGTATTTGACTGGCTGTTCGTGGTCCGAAAATTAACGACGCCTGAGCAGATGTGCCAACGAGAGGCCGAACCCCCGAGAACGAGGCTTACCCGGATCGTATACTTCGTACGACGTACATGTATACGCGCACGTGATGGGTAGGACATAAACGTTGGAACAACCATCCACCCTTAATACTTCTTTTGGCTGATGTGACCCAGAACTGGGCGAAACAGTAGGATAATTACGAATTATTTCAGTAAACACTCTGTAGGCATGGGCCTACTATGTAGTACACTACTATCACAAACACTCTAAATACATATTCAGGTTGGCAACTGGTTTTCACTTCGACATGAGGTTTATGATGGCGAACCATTAGCAAACCTCATCTCAGCAAGTCATTAAAATACATGATTTGGGGAAATACCACTACCCAGATACACCACTATATGATATATTAGAGAAAAGGGTGAAATATTATACCTACTATATACCTACGTGCACGTGCAATATCCTGTCTGTATTTGGAGGAAAATAGTGTGGTTCTAATTCGTGCGCCGGCTACCAGTAGAACCTAATGAATAAAAGTGCTTTAAGATTCTAAATCTACGTTTATTTCCGGCGGGGCCACGCACATGCGCAGCAACGGACCAACGAAAGAGATTGCGCCGAAATTTGCATTGCGTGCTCGTAAATTCTGTAAAAAAGTAACAGAGAAAGCAGAGGGCCTTTAGACTAAACAAAGCTGCAGCTTAAAAGACGAGCGATGTTGAGGTGTATGGAGACTTCACGTGGGCCATATTAAGGTGCTGTGCCCAATGACGCCATCTTAAAGCTTGTGTTGATACCAAGCAATTGATGTAAGTTGTAGAATAGTTAGCATTTACTGTCAAAAACCCATGAAGATTGATTATGCGGAGGGCACTCAAACCATGATACACAAACACAGACGAGAGTTTTTTTAAGAGGAGTGTTGACTTAACGACGAACGAGGTGACTGGAACCTACAGACGTTCTTATCCATGACTCTGAATGACGGTGGCCTTCATGCGTATACGCTTGTTTTTGGCCGATGCTGTCCAGTACCGGTGTCTGCCAGGGCCATTGGCTGATCTTTAAGGCAGCTGGATCACGTGATCTGCTGACTGCTTCCCACTGAACCAATCAAGAATCTCCGAGATGCATTCGGCCTATCGGGTGACAGCTGTCCTGTGCGGTTGGTCGGTAAGATTGCTCTGCTCTCGGCTGACTTATCTGCAATCACCTCTTTGTTGTAGTAGCCGAGTGACATCTTATGCAGGTTGCCATGGAAACACATTATGAGGTGCAGTCTCTCCCAGCCACCCCGTACCGTCGTTACCTGTGCAAGAAAAGCACAAAAGGAGAACAGAAATGAACAGAAATATTTTTTTTAATGATTTCAGTGCACTTAACATATCTGGCAGCTCAAACCATGAGACTTCACGAATCAACTTCACCACGTTTTCGACTGAGATACAGATTTCAGAGAGGTCGATAGGTTAAATGGAGCAAAAAACCTGTCCCTGGTTACAGCTGCCGTTTCTACATGCGTTATTTGCGTCAGTTTGTAGTACTGACGCATTCCCCTATCAAAAATTTACATCCAGTCGAGAGCAGGTAGCTTGGTTTCTTCTCTCACTGTCCGAGCACGCTACTCTGGGGGAAAAACAGTAGCAGAACACGCCAATGCAGAACGCACCAATACAAAATAAAGTTTACGACAAACTTTTAAGCACGTGAGGCTATTAATAACCCTAACAGTCTTCAACCCTCGGGCAGCAGAAGGATTGAAGATAGGGTTAAGGCAGCAAATCACGGGATCAAGAAGATGGAGGGCTCTTAATACCTTGGTCAGAATGGAGAATACCACACAAAAGACGTCATGGCCAGAATTACATCAAGATGGAGCTTGGAGATGTTCTTGGAATGCGTGAAGACAATGATTCTGACAGACAAGAGTTTACCAGTGTCATTTCGTCAGAGTATGAGCCGCGAGCTGGACCAAAAGAGGGCGCAATTTTCTTAGCAATGGAGGCTCCTTTGGTCGGAACTGAACTTTGCTGGTTCAGGAACTTTGGAGGGATTCATCCAACGATGGACTAACCAGAGCCAATGCAGACCAAGCATGCAGATGGTCCGTAGAGTGAACTTGGCAACTCTGGTTTTACCTTGGTCTCGGTGACAACAGCCCCTTTTATAAACAAGAGGGACTCTGTGCCGTTGTTTACTTCTGAACTTGGCACGCAGCTGTTTGGCCGATGATTACTACGCACGTTGCCCTTTTGCAATTTTGATACGGGACCAAACAAACCGACCCCCGTGACGTAAGTTTCAGTATCGCTCACGTTATTTTGTGGCGTCACGAGCTTCGCTTTCACGTATCGCGTGCCCCATGTCATCGCCGCATATCACGCTCGATAACCGTGTTGTGGGAAAAATAAGCTGACTTGCTGATAAGTGGAATTCATGTAGATAGCTGAGTTCAATAGGGGACCGGCAGTGATGCGGCTGTCGCACATGCATAGGCCTTTTCCGCTAAGTGACACTGCGGTGTTGTCGCTGGTGCACGGCAGTACTTACATGTACGTGCGTGTACACGCCCCCGCATGCACGTCCACAGCAAATTGACACAATGCCAGAATTCTTTGTTAGTTTTTTTTTCAGATGCGCCCTGTATATGTACATATGTAGTTAAGTGCTCACTTTTTGGAGTTAAGTTTTCACCCTTTCCTGTCTCGGCACAAAGTGTCTGCTGGTCTGAGAAACAACATGTGGAGGCGTAGAACTCTATCGCCTTCAAGTCTCCACTTCACCCTTGCCAGAACCACATTTCCTGAAATGAGGGTGGGTTACGCGTGTTGATAACTTCGTCCATGCGAGTAGCATCAACAAACGCCTGGCGCGGTAGTGTTGCGCTCCCGTGTTTACCTTTCCGGGAAATTTCATATTTGTTGTTCACAAGAGGTGTACGCACTCCGCCCCGAAACGATCATTTATAGAAGAACTGCCTGTAATATCTTTATTGTATAACTGAGTCACCCAAATCTCTTTTCATTGAGGGCACTTGTGTGTAATACAGTGTCAATTACATGATTTTTTTTAATGTCGAGTTGAATGACCGCTACAGCTTTGATTGGACAGGGGCAGGCTCATTGTTCGCTTTGCGGGTAGCGCCGAAATAGGTCAGCAAACAAGTGGAGCGCTGTGTCGCATAATGATATATCTTTGTCATTGCTTTGGAAACTTGCCAAGAATCACACAGGGCTGCCGATTTCATTTCATAATACATTCTTTTCTCCTTAATTCAGTTCTAGCTCCTCGGAAAAGCACTTGCAGAGCTCGATATTTTTAGACAAACTGTGCTAGTGTAATCGAGTGTTGTAGCAGTGTAACTAGTAGCCTATAGTAAAACATGTTTTTGAAAGTGATTGTCATTTATCAAACTTGTCAATTTTTGAATTCTTTGCTGAATTTGGACGGTAAAAGCGGTACACCATAAAGTGGAAGTCTCTTGATGCATTTGACTTTGACAGTACCCGTAAAGAATTCATGATAATTATATGCACCCTATAATTTTAGGCCTGAGAAGTGATTCAAATATGGACAATGTACAGTGGAAAGATAATTCTTGGGCAGACTCAAGGGGTGCATGTGAAGTCTACAGTCTATCATGATTTCCGTCTACCGACGAGTTCCAGACCAGACCATGTTCTTACCTGCCTGGTTTCCTCCACTTCCTGCCCATGCTCTCTCTCTCTCTCTCGCTCCCCCCTCGTCTGCCGCGCGTTATCTCATCAGTATCAAGGTTTGGGGGGGGGCGCCTCCGGCTGGTCGAAGACCCGGGCTGCCTGGGCTCCGTGTCAGGTCGGTCTGCTGTATAGTGGATTCCGAAGTTCTCTCAAGTGTACGCGTATCAAGTGCGGCGTTGTGTTATAAGCCGATAGCTTGACAGCGCGACTCTGCATGGGTTCTTGGCTGTCAAGTCTCAGCCGCCCCAACAAGTCAGCGGTTTGCTGTTGACCTCACCTGCAAATAACAAAGGGAATTTTGTCACATTTTGTTACGTCTCTTTCGTGTCTGTTCCGAATGATAAAAGCACCGCACGCAGTGTTCCGCAGCCTGCTCAACTCTCTAGGCCTATGTATATCTTTCCGAGAAGGATTTTGATCTCTTGAGCGACCGATTCAGGTGTGAACTTCGGACAAACCGCTAACTGAGATTGTCGCTGAAGCGACCCCACTTGAGTCCTATCCCAGGATCGTAAGTCCCTGAATCACGAGGCGACTTCCTTGGATTTTGGACGCGGGAAGTGTAATCCCCGACAGCGGCTGCCAGGGATCGCCGAAGATTAGTCAAGTCACGAACAATTAACAAGGAGGTATGCGGGGCTTGCTCAGTACAGATGTGCATGTATTATTGTATGAACTCAGCAAGATGTAACACTCGAAGAACGGGCGCAGACGTACCCCTAGGGATTCGCTGTCACAGAGCAGCACTCCCATCTCTCGTCTGACTTCAGTAGTATAAGGAACTCGTATCTAACTGAAAAACCAACTGGTAAAACGTGAATTGAAGTCGCGCTGACGGTTGACGTTCATGAACTCCGGACGTACATGTACATGTACAGTCGAGTTCCCATAATGTCTGGCCCGCCTGTTCCTCTACCGCGTGCGATGCCGGAGCAATCAAACCGTGATTGATTGTGCAGAAGTTGTAGGCATCTGCTGGGCTGAAGACAAGCCTTTAAAAGCACACTCTTGTACTGTTTACCCCTTTCTCGATTCTGAACCAACAGCGGTTGGTCGATTCGCTTGTCTGATGACACATCGCCGAACCTCGGGTTTGGGGTTTTTGAGGTTTGGCGCGGGGATAGTATTAAGCATCGGTGTCACATTAAACAATGTGTACTTCCGGTGTTTTGGCTGTTGAGAAGGCCGGCAGGACGGGTATTTCCGGCATGTAGAGAGAGAGAGCGAGAGAGCCCTTGGTTTGGAAGCCCTCGATCGAGCGTGTGCTGCAATGATCGCACGCAAGTTGTCGAAAAAATACCTATACCTAGTATGATCAGGGCTGTAGGCCAGCTTCAGAAATTGGAACCAAAATGGCTGTTCATTGCGTGTGCAGTACACTATGCAGCCTTTGTGCGGTAATAATTATCTATGTACACTGCACCGTTTTGGTTTCAACAATCGAGACACTCATGTCACAACCCTCTCAAGGGTACAGCTCTGCCTGTCCCTCCAACGCCCACGTTCTAAATGCTCCAAACTGTTATTGTCCCCTCGTCTTTTTTACTCGAAGATAACCGGCCTCGGAGCACACATTTATACGCAAACCACTCCCGGAATCTGCGAGAAACCATCCGCCTGTCTAAGCCTCGAGCGTAAAATGGCACTGCTTGAAATTGCGCCTCCTCCCCGAGTTGTGGTGGCTGGACACCGAAAAAGCCCACGCCTTGATTGAGCGATCATAACAGACAGCATGATGGTCACGATTGAAGCTCCGAGTCATGTAAATTATAATACAGCGAACACTTTGTGCCGAGGCCGAGCCGAGAAAAATCAAGCTCATGTATTTTCCCCACCAGTCCGGCCGAGGTGCGATTTCATAAACACAGATCGCATACCCAGTGGCGATTTGCCATTCAGGTATAATGGTCTTAACGGATGGTCGTGAATGCCTCTCATGCAGAGATTTTACCAGGGCTTTTTATAGGCCGCGATACTTCCATCCACAAATAAAAAATACCCCTGGCTTTGGACCAAGCAATTAAAGGACCAGGGAGCGTAGAACGTACGTACACACACAACACACGTACCCACACCAGCGCACTAGAATCACGATTATTCGATATTTTTGAGATCGATTTCCGGAAGAGACCTGCAAGTCAATTAACACATGAGTTTAACTGTGGTTGAACCATCAAGCAGCACTTACGTAACACTTCTGAGAACTGCGATCTAATCCTTTCAACGATTCCCCCAACTTCAATACACGTACACTCATTCACCACAGAGTGCATTTATTCCAAACGCACTCTACTCGCGTACAATTTTCGTCCCTTTCCGCCTGCAGCATAGAAAATGTATAAGCATCTCTCACTGCGCGGTACTGCTCCCCTGAAGAAAAAAAAATCTTACAAAAAACGACATCTTAACATACGGGTGATTCTTTTAAAACAATATTCAACCGTACCTTTGTCTGCCCGGTGTTACAAGAGGAGCAATATGGGACTCATCTACATTCAAGTTTCCTGCCTGTTCGTCCACTGCGTCCACTAG